GAGAAATGACAAATAAAATTAGCTTTCTTTCATTTATACGAAAATACAGAATGTTTTGGCCTAATAATAAAAAAGGCGCAAAAATCCCATCAATTTAACATTTTCATAGTAAGGCAAGGCAGTTAAAAGTGGCCCGATTGGAGCCACTTCTGAGTGCTCTTGCCTTACCAGCTGCCATTACACAAACTTTGATGGCATGTTACTTGTAATCTGATTTTTTTGTGGCATTCACTTTTGTATTATGCATAAGCCTGTAATATGTAAATATACACCTATAAATATGTTAATAATTCTTGTATCAAATTCCATCTCTCCCGACGTATGACCCATTACACGAACTTGCTTTTCTCTTTTTTTTCCACATTCTCGTCTCCCTTTCGCATTATTTCAAAAGTAATTCCCCACAAAAAGCTTTTTTGAATAGCTTTATGTGTAACACTATCTTCTTATTAAGCGAAACAGGGTACATCCCTCCACTTTTGGAGGGCAAGCCCAAATCTCTTCTCCCAAACCCAATTCCCTTCCATTGGGGCCTCCTCGAATACACTTTATGTCTTCCTTACATCGTCGGCTTTTCTGATATCAAGATCCTGACGAGTTCCGTCATGGATTTCGCCTTCCGACTCTCAACATGCTTTTGTTTTACAGCCACCGTTCAGACATTTCTCAGCTTATTGTACCACACGACTTGCTGTATCTCTTTGTAACCATCGCCATCAAGTTCTTTTAATCCATAAAGCCTGCTCATCTACAGTCTTTGACATCACAGCACATTCAAATCATTCGATCAAATGGAACTTTTGTTCATCGTAACTGCAAAGCAATAAAAGCGATGGGTTCAAAATATCGATGAATATAGGCACCGAATCAGCTACAAATCATAGAAATGCAGGGGGACTCCCGTCACACGTGTTGGAGAACCGTTAAGTGTTTTCAGAACAACTGATCGTCTACAAATGTGTCTCCATGCCAATTTTTTATGCGAGAAATTGCTGAAATTCGGCTCGGCTACGCAAAATAGAGGGAGGGGGGAGACTGCCCTCTATCCACTTATGCCTGCGACCTAAACTAAAATACCCTGTCATTTCCTCCCCACCTTTCTCAATCCCTTCCAACCCAACGGTCGGAGGGAGAGGGGAGGGTATACCGTAGTCATCCCTACCCGTTGCTCAGTTTGGTTCTGAAAGTGTTTTTCTTAGTCCGACACATGAACATGTGCGACAGAAGTTGAAAAAAACAAATTTTCGAGTATAAAATTTGTGAAATTAAAATCCGAGACATCATTCGCATCCACTTCTCATGAAGAAACGATGGTATAACGAAACAGTTCGAACAACAAATACCACTTGACTCAGGCTACCTTCCAATAACTGCTTACAAGTAAATAGGTGGAAAAATTCGCAAAAAAAAAAACGAATTTGGAGGGATAAGTGATTACTGTAAGGCAAAAAAAAAAAGAAATCAAATTCTTCGAGGCCTATTCAACAACTAAAACCACAAGTAAAGCACTTCAAAACAGAAAACTAAACAAAACGATGATGATGACAATGATGATGATGACGATGATGATAATAATAACGTAAAGGCGTTTCGTTTTCATGCAGTAACAACTAGTGTTTTCGCAGCAATATCATACCCGGAACGATTGTAGCTAAATGCATATGCTGCTGCACTGAGCGGAAAAAGCAAATTTATCAACATGTTCTTCATCAGCGACCGCAACAATGAACTGAAACATTCAACAGGCAAGTCGATATGTTTGCAAGCAATGCTAAGTAGCAACGCGCTCCAGACTAGCCGGTGCGATCATGCGTTTGTGCAATGCAGCCCATCGAACGATTGCCTATTAATGATTTTCACTGCTTTGTACTTTAGTCTA